TGTGTGTGTGTGTGTGTGTGTGTATATATATGTATATATATGTATATATATGTATGTATATGTATATACTATTAGTTATGGCTCATGCCCTGAGCGTGTCAAAGATATCACGAGTTAACGATTTCGTCGTTTCTATTAGTTATGGCTCATGCCCTGAGTGTGTCAAAGGTATCACGAGTTAACGGTTTATTCGCTTCTATTAGTTATGGTTCATGCCCTGAGCGTGTCAAATATATCACGAGTTAACAGTTTAGTCGTGGTTTATAGACCGAGGAGGGGAACTTTATTTACGAGGTCGACTGGAAAACCGGAGAGTTGACAGATGATGATAACGATGTGCGGCAAGCAGGTGCTTTTTTTGGGCTTGCTCTCGCCTTCAATGACAAGGTACTACTTATGTCACTACTAGAGGTAACAAAGGCAACGCGTGTGGCATTACTATGTTAAATGAATTTCGTATGCTTCTGTCACCTGTAATTTTTTTAGCGTTTAGAATATTATAAAAGCTGGAGTTGGCATGCTTACATACGTAGTGATAGCAGAACAAGTCTAAAATTCACGGCTTTAATTAACCGCTGTGATAGCCCACATCCGAAGTCGCCAGTGCGTGGCGTACGGCCAGGGTATACTGGCAGCGACACAGCAAGGAGTCTATTGTTGGTCCCGGAAGGTACGTAGAAACTACAGCTTGAGCATTCGCTAGCGATACTCGCTTCTCAGCCCTGCCGCTGCCGTTATTCTATTATCTAGAAAGCCATCTACCGTGCTCACTAGTCTGACACTCATTTCACAGGTTCATGAAATATCCGACGAAGGGGAAAGCCATGCCTGCTCTCGCGTGCACTACCTTGGCTGCAATGGGGTATATCGATTTCCTACGGACCCCAGAGAGTCATGATGATCCCGACTGGCCAATCTATAAAAGTGAATTGGACGAACTTCTAAAGTTCTTGATCTATAGCATGAATGACCATACGTACCTTGTACCTTCCTATGTCAAGTAAGAATACCGCTTTGTATTGCTCGCTTCATTGATTTGTATGTATTCGAATAGTGCCCGGGACTGAGCAGATTTTCTATGTCGTAAACTGATGTAGGCGCTAAAGTACCGTTTGCTGTTGCGTCAAATAGAGATAATGGGGAGGCCACAATAAATGCCAACCCGTATGGCAACGGCGAGTTTTTATTGTGTATCATCAAAGCCACAAAATACCTTGGCTATCCATATGCAACCTTGGCTCACAACAATGCACTGAGCGGGTTCGAGGAATGGATAAGTGGGCCGCTGGCGGTAAGTGCGATGATTATTTATCTTGGTCGCAAATATATTTCCGATTTTCAGCGTCAATATATTTTTTGTTGTCCATTGAGCTCGATATTCTCAAACTTACCAGGAAAACGATGATCCAGATGAGACGAAAGGATATTATCAATGGTCCTCAATGAGTTGGTATGAGCTGACCACCTCTACCGAGTTTTATTCACCCACTGAGGAACAGGTCCTAAATTACCGCAGATGGCTTGTTAAAATGGGCTATTGGATAATCGATAAACATAGGTATGATAGATATTTTTTTTTGCGTATTGGACCTATTTCTGACACTATCAGCCACTCACTGTACCCTCGCATCTGATACATAATATGCATTTACGTAGGATTCTGAGGAGAAAACGCAATACAGGCTACGCCTATGAAGGTATAATTCATGCACGGGAAGCCGCCCTGGCACTGAAAACGCAGGAGGGAGACAAGGCTGCTAGGTACTTCGCACAGACGGCGCATACTGGAATTTGTGGGCTGATGCAGTGGCAGGTAAGACTGACAATCGCTTGTATTCGCCTGTGACGATTGGGATGATGCAGCCATTCTTTATACCGAAATTCCATGTTTCCATACCCTCTTGTGATTGCTCGATGGATACCATACCCGTCTCCTTTGGTGTAAAATTGCAGGTCGGAAACCGCTACCAGAATGACTTTGTGAAGGGAGCTAAGAACGATCCTAACTATCTTGGAGGCGTCCAAAATCACGCCTCTGAGCCGTTGCTACGCATTGACACAACTCAACATCAGCTTCACACGTATATTCTATTTCTACGATACATCGCCTAGTTTGTAAATTATTCAAGACATAATTCTTAGTAAATCCTAATGGATGTGTATCAAAAGTGACAAATTATTTAATCTGCGCGAACGACTTAATCAGGAGAAACGCCACAATGCACATATAATCAACAAATCATCTCGAATTCTATCGGCAAAGTTTTAGGGTTTAGGGTTTTAGGGTTTAAACCCCTACCAAAGGTAGGTACCGCACTTTGCATCTTTATTGAAGATGAGACACTCGTGTGACATTTAAAGATGATACTGTATTCACAACAAGTCAAGCACGAGTTCCTAAACCGTGTAGCGGGGCGAACGGAATCTAATCGATCCTGATATAGCGATCATATGTAAAAATGGCAAAGCAAATCACCAATCGTCGCCAAACCTATCTATTACCTTTTGTTGCACTGATAGATCCTGCTTAACCTTCGAGCGCATGTAGAAAATGGGACAATCTCTACTCGTGCAAAGTATATCCTGGTGTAAACTCCCCTGACATCGCTGGCACTGTGACCACAACCGCGAGAATTTCTCTTCCAAATCTCGCATATTATCCACTTCTCTTCGTAAAATATCGCCTTCGTGTGGCTTGCAGTGCTCGCAAATGGCTAGATCTGGGAGGAAACAAAAAGGCACGCTATTAGCTACTAATGTTAATGTGACTATGTTGACAGTGTCAGTGAACTAGCATTTATGTCTCGACTTCGTGGTGGGGGGACCCTTTCTAAAAACATACCGTCTCGAGGGAGGCGCGATTTGCAACTAACACAGGTCGCAACTTTCTTCGTGAACTTCATAAGTCCGCCAGTCATCGGTGTTAGGACGGATACCTTTCTCGTGTGATCTCCCTCTGTAGAGGTGAAGTACATTAAAGAAAGACTGAGCACCTGACAGAACATTCCGAATCGGGAAGATATCAACTTGTAAGCCAGTAGTTTTCTGGCGGAAACCGATACATACTATCTACACATAATTTGCAGTTAAATAACAGAAACGAGCGCAAGTTGAAATAACACATACTCAGGAGATGCTGAGCTTTGCCGACACCCATAATAGGCTCGAAAATCCTGGTAATAGGATTTGTTAGCTGATGCTCTACGTAGTGCTGGAAGTCAATGGGTATATTATTCTCAAGCACATATATCGGGTCTTCGGCCTTCTCGTATGCCGCTGCTTTCTTCGCAGCCTTGATGATCACGTAGGGAACACGATCGCCGAGTTGAGGAGCGGAACCTGTGAAATGCGAAGCACAAGGTGATTGGATCGTTGCATCAGCTAGAATATAAAAACTCAACATCAGGCGACAAGCCAGTGCCCTATAAATATTTACAAATCTTGAACGTTGCGAATAAGGTGAACGGTACAAATGCGTGACCGTGGTGGAATTTACAGTAAATATAGTGTGATCGAGACCAATTTGTCAGTTCGTCAAACAGGATGTGAAAGCGCAACCAACGCTTGCAGCTCCAGACTCTCATACCAGCATCACGTTTGCGCATTCGATCAGCCAGTTCAACGTGCGCTTGCTTTGCAGTGTAGTTCTCACTACTCTTAGCCAGCGCCTTTGAGATCACCAATTGTGAAATGTCCACCTGTGTATTAATGAAGTGAGACAAAATGAATCATAGCTGTACGCATTGATGCATCAAACAACAAATATAGAACTTCGGAATAGATCGCCTCTACTTAGTCAATTAAACGAAGAAAGCTGCCGAGTACTGGAACACTTGAAGATGTAGGCGGTCCCACATACCTTGTTCTGCAACAACAAAGATATCGTATCTTTGACGTGCTGCTTCGCACCCTCAAGATCTCGCTCAACTAGCAAGAACTTCAGACAACGGTCGATCAGATTCTTGACAAGGTGGCAATTGTCACGTCGAACAGTCTCAATACCTTTGCAATCCATCTGCATAATAAAATTGTGACAATGAAGGCATGATTGAGTGAACTCTCAAGAAATTTATCTTTCTTCGTACCAGCCTGTATTGCCCCGAGCTTAAATTCCAATTGACCTCACCTTATCGTATTTGTCGGGCCGCGTCCAATATAGACCAGCATACCGTTTCTTAGAGATCAGCAGATACGGGAAGTAGACTTTCTCGAACTCAAGCTTAATAGGACTCACGAATTTTTCTGAAACGAACGTAGCTGCTTCCTTGCCCATATCCATAGCTTCCTCCAGCTGAAAGGCCATTGCAACGAAGTATGAGCAAAGCAATATAACTATTAGAACTACAACACCAAAATTTATTGCGCAAAAGGTGGGGTCCAATGCTCATTGGTACTCACTTGGTGATGGTATCGGAGAATCCAAAATAAACCTTATTGCGCATACATATTAAATAATACATGCGACAATAAAATACAAGGTTGAAAAAATGGAGAAGCAGGTTAATAAAAAGTGAAATATCGCCTACACTTACCGTCTCAGTACCGAATTTGATCATCACAGAATCGGTATCACCATAAATGACCTTGGCATCGGCAACGTAACCGTTCTCGATTGTGTACTTGTCCTCAACCACCTGTTTGGTCTGCTCGATCATTTGACGTCCGAAACCAGTGACACTCGAGGATATCTGTAAACACGGCAGTTTTCCAACCGTAGCACCTGTAGTTAGAAAGAAGGCCGAATATAGTGAGATACAGACAAATACTTTACATACCAAGCGGGCAACGAAAACCGAAAATATCAACCAGCAGAGGGACCAACCTGTAAAACCGTACACGGAATTCGCACTGATCTTCAGCGCCAGCTGACGGCCGTCCAACACAGCTTTTTTAAACGGATCGGTTTCCTTCTTGAGCGCCAATTTCGCCCGCTTCCTGGCTGTTAGTAGATCCTCGAGGATATCTGGCAACAGTCCCTTTAGTTTAGATTGTTTCACAAAATTATCGCCAGTGGGTGTTTTTATATAGTCGTCCGGGCCCAGACCAAGACTTGCAGGATTACCCCTGATAAGCGTGGTGTAGCACAGATTGTGCGCCATCATGATAGATGGGTATAGTGAGGCGAAATCCAGTGTGGTGATAGGCGTGTCGTAGTACCCAGCGTTCGGTTCGATAACGGTGGCACCCTCATACTGTTCATCTGCTTGCCCTGATGGTACGTGAGGTATAACATAGTCAACCACGCGAGCTCGGCGATACAGCTGTGACACGACTTTGATCTGCTGGCCCCTTGTAAGTAAATAGTTCAGCGGAACTCCGGTGACACGAGCCATCTCAATATAATTAATCAGCCCCATGAGTTTGTTCAGTAATCGAAGTGGGAGATATGCATCTTTCAAGCAATACACGGCAAGACGTCTGCGCGTTTGATCCGAACCCTCTTGAAGGTCAGAAATGATGGTGTGAGGCACATCTTCCTTTTGCTCGCCCAAGAACTCGGCCGAAACAGAATTTAAAGAATACGAACGGAGTTTGTAGTCTCTCTGGAGCAGCTGAAGGACATCGAAGGGCACCCTCCCTTCAATATTGAAAGTGTGACTGTCGCGAGTCCCGTAGGCTTTCGATGAAAACTGTGTATCCCTCATCACAGAGGGTGTATTCTCAATCCGACCCCAGTAGTGGAAGTTCTTCACATTCAGCTTCTCGGCTCGCTTGAAAAGATACGGCAAATCGAAATTGGTGGTATTATAGCCCGTGATCACATCCGGGTCGACGGCTCTTAGAAACTCCGCCCACTCTTGCAGCAGCTCCCTCTCATTGTCTAGATCGGTTTTGTGTCTGTGGTATGTTTTAACTTCAGAACCGGCGATATTATCACAAGTCTTCAAACAAAAGATGTTGCGTACGAACGGCCTCTCCTCTCCTTGTAGCTGAACCATATTAGCTATCTGTATAATGGGGTCTTGATCCGCTTCTGGGAAGACACCCGGTCGACCTTTGCACTCAATGTCGAAACTCAGAATACGGAAAGGAGCATTCTTGGAATACTCTCCCTGCGACGATGGATAAGTGTTTCATATAAGATTTGAGCTCGTTGTAGTCATTATGTCTCTGAGGCATGAGCGGTGCGCTTACAATATCGAGATTGATTAACGATATCCTCAAAAAGGGGGGATGCACACGGGAACGATAAAACTTATCGAAACGAAAGTAGCATTCGAATAACCGGAGAAGAGTGTAATGAATGTAGAGTACTGCCCGTACTGCCCTTCGATCATGCACTTTCAATAACAATTGAGTATCAGCATGATGCAAATATCATACCTCAGCAGCATGTGCGATAAGCTTGTCGTAAGCGATATCAAACTCGTATTGGCATCGACTTTGTGGGGGAGGATTACTTGTCTTTCCTCTGATTCTGTATGCCCCTTGCGGTAATTCCACCCTGAGACAACATGAACAGCAAATCGTATGTGAAACTTGGTTTTGAAACTTTATGGACCACTTCAAAATCAAAAATTTGAAAAGTAAATACGTGGGATTTGAATAAGGGAAAGGCAACAATTTCCTATCAGCAATCCACAAAACATACCAACTGCATCCTACAATCCCAGTATCAACCATGAATCGCAGAAGAATCTCGAGATTGCTCTCAAAAGGCTGGCATGCAACCAAACCTGTGTCAATAATTCAATTTTGGTTTTATAATCGGGTTAATGGTGTTGTGTGTTATATTAAAATGCTGGCCACCAGAGCCATATGAGTAATATGCTTCCAACTCAATTAATCAATCGCAGTGAAATAACTTGAAAGGGTTTTTTATAAACGCCATTTAGATCCATATACATGTATGTTGCTATGTACGCACATACATGAGTGTGTATATACATCCATCAATATACACGTGTAAGTATGCATGAACGTTTTCGAATGAATTTTGATACTGGTTTACATACTTGCTCGTACCAGCCTATATATTTTGAACTATACAACTTTTTTGTTTCACCAGACACACAAGTGAGGGTTGGTCCTTTAGCTGCTTTATCGTACTTTTAATATACAATAGTTGAGAATATGTTGAATTGCTTATTTGATAACTCCCTTGACATAATTTTGGCCCTTTAACATACCATATCAAATTTCAACATACCATATACGCCGACATTGAATCCCTGTTCGACAGCTCGTCGAGCCGCAGCTATTTGATGCGGCAAATTCATAGTCAGCTTCAGAAACTGAATCTTGGTCTGAGAGTGATACCTGTAAGTAAATACCAGTAACAACAGTTAATGTCCGAATGATACTTGTCTTTTTTAGGGAATACATGTGTCATATCGGCGTGTCCAGTACTAAGAGTTGCCGCTTGTATTCGCAATACCTGATAGGAGGAAATTCAGGGAAGGTCGCATTTATACTGGCAAAGAAACTTTGTGATCCCATTATCCATGAATATAGGTGCTCGTGATGAAAATTTTTCGTCAGACACTACTCTCGGTAGAACAACTATACCTGTGGGATGACAGGCCAATAACAAACCCAGAACTAAATTATAGGATATACTCTAACCTCAAACGCCATAACTTCAGTCACTAACTACAACTGACTGATTTTCATAACCGATACAATAAAAAGTGCGCTATATAACAGTACATACCCGAAGATGTTCTCTTTCATCTCCACCTCTACTCGAACAACGGCATTGTGTACCTTCGGTGACAAATTTGTAATTTTCGCGTTTATTGCCTCCATGAATATACCTACGTGCTGAGCTTTGAAATCCTTCGGCGCCGGGACGTAGAAATAGGGTAAAAATCCGTGCACGTGTGCGCACACACTATTTCCGTTGCTATTTACCCCGAATAATCTGTATTATACACAACGAATCAGTTAGAACCGATATCCAGGAGCGGAAAAAATAATATTCTATGGACGTATTCAAAAATCTTAAGAATTCGACATAAAATAACGCGGGGTACGCCACATAATCGAAATGCCCATATGCAACATACCTGAAAATCACACCATTTCTATGGATACCAGGCATGCCATGCATGTGAGGCCCCTCATATGTATCAATATCCAATTGCTGGAATACGAATGACTCAGCTGCTGGTCGTATCTGTTTGGCACTGGGACGGCTCCACTGCTGCATGACAACTCCTTCAGACGCCTGTGGTACGATAGAAGTCGAGTAGATTGTAATGTGAGTATCGAGGACAGCACGGAGTAGCACGCCGCAGAGGTCATCGCCTTTGACGAAATACATTCAAATGTGGGCGCGGTTTTACTTTGCCGACAATAATACCCGCATCAGTGTATCATCACTTTTTCCCAACACATACAGGCATGGTTTTTAGTGAGCAATCGTCTAACCAAAGCTGCACTCACTAGGATATATGTATATATATATATATATATATATATATATATATATATATATATATATACTACTACCTAACCCGTAAACCCGTAACCGTAACGTACGTTGTTGTT